AATTCTTATCCGGCAAGCCACACATCAACAGCTGTTGCTCCGGCCACATCTACGTGATGAGTTTTATAAAGTAGTAAGACTGCAAGGCTATGCTATAAATTCCCATCGTGGATGGTTTTGCTCTCTCTGGGATTTTTTCCTAATATGCTTCTTATAGCTCCAGCCTCAGTATGACCTGTATATAAAATGTGTTCCCTATCGATTCTAACCCTACCCTTAGCAGTCTGACTTTTCATGGTATTATACGTCTTACTGCTTTGGCATTTAGGTCGTTTCATCCGTCTTCGTCGTGTCGCAAGTGCCAGGCTAGACAGGTGGGATTGTACCATGCGGCTGACCCCAGCCACAGTTTCAATATGACTCACTTCAAATCATCCTACTCTGCCATTATTTCTGTATAGAGTAGTTCCGTTCTCAGTATTGGCATCTTATGCCTGCATTACCTTCCAAATTGTCATAAAATGTCCACGTTTCCGATATCGCAGGACAATCCGTTCCAGACTTTAATTACTGAGACGAATAATGATGCGGTGAGTACTATTCAAAGAGTTTCGGAAGAGAGTCCCACGTTAAGCCTCTCTGTCAGGCTCAATTGCAGTCCCACTACGAGACTCACCGAGTAAATCGAAATGCACAGCAAGCTGCGAAGATCCTGGCACCAGACTTCGCAGGCTGGAATCTCGACGAGATTTTAATGCGCCTTGACGGCCCTGCAAAGGAAGAGGGATTTATTGATCCTCGTAACTGCCTGGTCATCTGGGCCCGGCCGTCTTCTCCAATTCGTGATCTGATAAAGTTCGTGCAAAGCGAACTCAGAAGCGTTGCACCGAGTGAGTCCCTACACTTCGCAACACTTTCTCGCGGCCAGGAGACAAGGCGCTCACCATATTCTCACAGCCCTCTGGTTTATGCCCTCCGAGAATCTACATACAACAGTACTGGAAGTAGCCCATTCTTTGACCGAAGAGCAGATTGAGAGTCTCGTAAATACTCTGCAGTCATCACAGGGCGTGACCACGTCAGATATTGCAGACTATGCGTTCGCCCATCGAACGCGCCTTGTAAAGCCCATGGTGGGCTTTGATTCTGCAGCCATGGCACTGACCTTTGTCCCAGCCGCTGGAGACGCTTCAGATGTGCAATGCAGTACCGAAGATGAGACCTACAGCTATCATCATCTTCGTCGTGATATATTCGACATGGTTCGGGCGGCTGGCATCCCGGTCGCGTCCCGGTACATTGTTCCTTCAGCCCATCTCACCATTGCTCGGTTCGTCACTCAGGACGGCTTCGTCAAACCAGGAGATGCAGTGGCAGAGGGACAGGTTGACCCTTTGAAGGTCAAAGAGCTGATTGATAAGATTGACGAAATTAATCAAAAGCTGCAGGACGAATATTGGCCTAGTGAGAATGGAACAATCAAGGCTGGCGGAGAGTGGCTGGTTGGCCAGGAGAAGGGCTTGATCATTCGCAGAGGCCGTCTGTGGTATGGTGGTGGCGACGATGTACAGCTTGGAAAGGGCTATTGAGTCTGGATCTGTATTAATAGGGTTCTAAGGAAGGTCATAAAAACTTGACGGAAACGGACTGAATATACCTCTGTCTCTGTTCTCTACGATATACAGGTTACTACACTCAGAGTTTTATGAAAATCCATCCAATGCAGGAGGTGTAAAGGGAGATAGGTCTATAATCGAGAGAATAATGGAGTTGTGTCCCTTTACTATAGCCTATCTGATAACTCGGGAAAGTATTATTCAATAATAGTCCTTGAATTCTCCAATCCCATACTTGCTATACTCCCGCCCAGTGTCCAGTCTGCTTGATCCTGTCCACTGCCTTCCCGAGATCTTCCATGTACTGCCTATGTAGTGTCTGTCGCAGGTGTTGCGGTATGCTGGGGTATGCAACGCGCATGACACGAACAGTGGCCTGAAACTGGAGCCGGCTCAATACAGTCGGTTGCAGATCGTACTCCTTGGCCAGTCTTTCCGGGAGGAAATGCATAGTCAAGAGGCGCGACAGTGGGGCCATGACCCTCATCCACAGAGGGAGATGGACCGGATAGAGGAGATCGCGACTCAGTTTCCGTGCCATATCGGTGACCTCCAATGTCTCGATATTGTGGTTCCAGTACTCCCAGAATTTGTCAAGCGTGGCTGGCCACATCTCGGGAGGCATCCGCAGGGAAGTGGCAAATACCGCAGATTGTTCGTAAAGTGCTTCCAGCTTGTGTCGGGGCAGCTCTCCAAAGAAGGTCTCGTGGACGACTACGATGGCGACGAACAGGGTAGCAGCGGTCCACTTGTGCAGCTCCGGATCATTTGCATCGTAGTCTTCTGACTTGACTCGGGCATGATAGCGATGGATGACGGAGAAGATAGCGGCCTTCTCCTGCCGAGTGCCAAAGACGGCTGCATTGATAAAACGGGCTGTATTCCGGAGACGGTTGGGGATGCGAGTGGCGAAGCTGGAATGGTCGTAGCTACCTTTGGCCAGGGCAGGATGGGCAAACTGACAAAGGATAGCGAACTGGCCACCGAGGAGATAGATATCTTCCATCAGGAACGTCTTCAGGTCTGTGGGTTCGGCAATCGTGTCGTAGATGTGTAGAGATTCAAACGACTGCGCCGCCTCTGTGAGCTGAGCAGTTCCCTCCTGGACCCGAGCCATGACTTCGTATCAGGAAATGCACCTGAACTTGTAGTGTGTCAATAGTGCGATGTTGTTATATGATATTGACTAGGGTATGAAAGAGATAGCCAGACCGAGGAAGGGAATCCGGGGATATGTATTCAGCGCATCTGATACTAGACCGGAAATGCGATCAGCACTCCAAAAGGCCAAATATGACATTCTGGGGTCTGCCAATTATATCTTCGAGAAATGCCGATTCTCCTCGTCCATCATTTAGTCCTCAATCGGATAAGGCGGGGTTGTGCATGTGAAAAGGCATATGAAGACCACGGAGGCCTGTCAGGTGCAAAGAACCGATGGTTTGGAGGAAAAAGAACAAGCCCAACAGCAAATAGTAATTCACTATCGACTGAATGGAGTAGGGGAGCTCTAAATGACCTGGTTCCAGCAAGACCCCTGCTCCATCGAGGTCAGCAGGGTTTGCGACCTGGATGAAATGCCATTTGACATGTGTCAGTCTTCGTTGCGGAGACTCTATCAGTTGCTTATACACATTTATATTGTGACCTTAAGGGGACCAAAATAGTGTTTCGTAGAGGTACATGCACCTGTGAGGGCTACTGTATCAGGGAGAGAGTCATTGAGGAGTCCATACGACAGAAAATGACCCAGCGACTTGCCAATGCAAACGTTCAGTCAGTGGCGCCATCTGGCAACAGACTTGGTGTAGATCTTTAAAGTAAGGTCCGTATTTTCTCGGCCAATCAGTGCTTGCAGATGGATAGCGAGTGATATGATGCTGGATGAACTCAAAACTTTAGGAGCTATAAATATTCGAGTGGCATCCCACACCTGTTCTCCTCGTGCAGTTGACGTACTCGAAATGTGCCTCACCACGTTTCAGTACTGAAACTTCGTGCCAGGTGCGGAACTTGCGCTGGTCTCCGAACTTCTTTGCATGTCTTATGGCTCCAGTATAGATAGCCAAGTGGGAGGGATGTGACTTGGCCCAGTGTTCGAGGTCTGCAAGGTTACGAAAAAATCCGGCCACGCAAGACTCTTTAGTCTCACGCGTCTTCTCCGGTGCCAGAGACGCGAGTGGGCGATTGCAGAGATACCGTAACCCCATAGCGCCACTCTTCTGGGGATTATCCCATAGATACGCCAATCCAGATCGCAGAGTAGGCTCCAGCGTCTCCTCGTATGCTCTGGCTTCGTTTTCTTCGCAGTTGGCCCAGAATTGACCCGAGCGGATGTGGACGAGGTTGTCCGGATTCGTGCCTACTGCATGATAATTTTGCGTCTCGCGGTGCGAGGTAGTCGCTGCTGGCACCTGTGTCTTTTCAGGTTCTTCGTTCTCGGCGAACTGATCTGTGGCCGAGGCAGGGATTCGATCGCGAGCAGCCCCCCAATATGCAGTCAACGTATGTTCCACAGTCGATACTCCGGGCAAGCGCGCCAGTCCCGGCAGATAGTCGAGGCCTGAATAGTTGGTTTCGACTCGCGACAGATGGCTGGAAAATCGCTCACACCACAAGCCAACAGACTGTCGATGGGGAGGGTTTAATTGCTGGTGGATGTCCACAAGGCTCAAGCGTCGTATACTGTCCTCATACTTGCTCGCATCATTCCAGTAGCACACCCAAACTGTGGAATTGGGTACATCATCGCCGTCAAGAACCTGAAATTGTTCGATCGATGCAGGTGCGCTGGATGCATCCTCCACCATCCATCGCTGTATGCTTTCGACCGCCGCGTTAACGCTCTCAGTCAGTGAACTCTCATCGGTTTGGGCCTCAAGTCGTTGCACCCCAATGTATGCGGTGAAGACACGGTCTATATCAGCCGGGAATTGAGCCATCCATCTCGGAACGGGCGGACGATGCCCCTTGGGCTGCTGAAGTGGGAAGACTCGTCTTGTGCAGCTCATTGCGGTGTGCGGATATGAAGTTGTACCATGTTTCTCCTTCAAAGACAAGTGCAAAAGCACAAGGAAAAGGGCATTGCGGTCTCACAAGAGAAGATTACTTACCTCGGATAGCATCGTATAACCCCGCTTTGATCGGAGGTCTCTATGTCGAGCTTACCGTGTAAACAGTCCTCGCTTATAGTAATTGGTCAACTACGATCGCATTATTTTATGCATGTGGCCTGTATTCATCGATCCAGGATTTGTCATTTTTCTAGTCCATTCAGGTCATAGATTTTCAATCGCATTCAATGACCGGGGTCTAAACACGACCGTAATGGATAAAAGAAAAAGAGAGACGCATCTCCCTAGGAACAGATAAGGTATTCTATCCAAGGGGCCTACCTTTGTCTCCTTCGACAGCCGGGATTTATGGTAATGGTGTAAGTAATATTCATCTTTTGTACACAGTAAACTCAAGCGCTAAAAATGCCAGATATGCAGCAAGGAATATCACACCGGCTATCCTCCCCAGGCCAAGGATAACCACTAAGAAGAAGCCCAAGGATGACACCCACACAGTGATTAGATCGAAAAGGACAAACGTGTCTGATTGATTCCTTGTATTACCAGCGAGCGCCACCACGCCGGCACAGAGGGTCAAGAGGAAGATATTGCTTCCTGCAGTAGTGGCCGCCATGATGTTGACATGACCGCGAGACCCGCTGAGGACTGCAATCAGCTTCTCAGGCAAGGTGGTGGCGAAAGACAAAATGGTCAGACCAAAGACAGTTCCGGAGAGGTGCAAGGAATCGGCGATGCTCACGGCACTATGCGACAGAAGATACCCAGCTAGTGATAGAGTGATGAGGCCAAAGCATAGCTTGGTGATGTGGTACAGAAGGCTCCTAGTCGACCGTTCTAGGATTTGGTCTGACTGAGACTCAATCAAGGGGGTCGCTTCAGTCGCTGAATCCACCACATGATCGGTCGGCCCTGCCTCACTGTCGCTGTCCGAGAGCTCGGGTGCCGTTGCGACTCCTTTGTAGATGGCATAGAGGATTGACATAACATAGATGCCAAACAAAGCGATCAGAAAGCCCCCGACGATTTCGTTCAGCTGGTTGAAGAAGGCCAGCACCACGAACAGCGTCGTAATTGCGAGAAGCACTGCGGCATATAATTTGGCACTCCGGTCAAAGTCAATATGAGTCGGATGGAACAATAGACCGAGTGAAAACGCGCCCAGGACGTTGGAGATGCTCGAGCCCATGAGGTTGCCCAAGGCCAGGGGAGTGCGACGTTGCAGAATGGCAGCAATCACCACGGCGAGCTAATCGAACCGTCAGTTTGCATAGGAAGAACTGAAATACAAAGTTGACTTGCCTCTTCATACTCCGCTCCTGCCGTCAGCAAGGCAATAATTGTCTGCGAAACCCCCAAGGAACGGCCCACGATGACGGTGTGATCAATGAACGTGTCGGCGCCATAATCAAGGACAAAGATACCAGCGATAAAGACGCCTATATTGAAAATGAGGCTGTCCAAATCCATTTCATCGTACCCACCCTGACTAAGCTGGACAAGTAACTAACTATAGCATCTTTTTGGTCGAAAGAGAAATGAGGGAAACCTGCCCGAAATAGGAGGCTATTAAAGTTTTTCCGTGCGGCGGTGCATTTATCCACCAGCGATGCTACTATATACTGGCCCGGTCTTCATCTTTCTAGGACCATCCTGAGTCATGATCAGTTAAGCTAAAGACAGGGTTGCATTGACTGATTCACATCGACTAGTAAACTCGATATGCAGATCGGCATTGGCTTGTGTGTGCCGCGGGGAAATAGCAGAATGCGGGGTTGGTCGCATCTATTCAATAACATTAGCCTTTGTACCCCTGTCAGATCGTATCTGCAGGTGATGAATCAGGCGGCACCGATGCAGCTGGCGATGGTCTGGCCAGTGGTCCTGATAATCCCGGACGATGGCCGAGTCCACGACTCCAACATCCTAATGCCTTCCATCACATCCAGTCGTCCATCGACCCAGCTTGTGCCATCCATCACGCACAAATCATGCCCTGAGTGCAGATTCAGATATACGAGGGCCAAGACATACAGACCATTGCCCGATGGCGCTGAAATTACAGCAATGCTACGGTGCCCTGGCTTACTGTAAGAACTCGTATTCTGCCGTGCCCAGAGAGTCTAAGTATGTGATAATGTGTTCTCTGGGGTTTGTGAACTACCAGCGAGGCCTCTATACGTTGTGAATTGGCCTCCCTGAAGAGATTGGTTAAAATAGCCATGCTGGGCATCTCAGAACGATGGCAGGCATTGGCTGGCAGATACAACTTCTTGACGACTCGGTGTGCCAGAATTCGTATATGCATGGCCTCAGACTCTGGATTTCGACCGGAGTAGCTCCCTCAAGAAGCATAATGCGAGCCTTGAGTATCATTGTAAAAGATCCCTCGCATGTACTCAATCGTAGAGGTTGGGGGGGGGGGGCTCGATAGTTGTATATAAAGCCTCTTGCTCCTCTGTCTGGAAACACAAGACCAACAGCAGCTCAACTCGAATTTCAATTGCCTATTCCAGCAGAAATGAGGCGCTTCCTTGTCTCATTTGCCCTATTATGGCTCTTCAGCGCTGTCATTGCTGTTGACAACCACCTGATTGACCTGCAGCCTCTTCCTCGACATGCTTGGGACCGGGATGCTTTGCACAAGAGAGATGATCCCGCTGGAAGTGTGGCACTCCAGGACCATGAGCAGTTCATGTGGACTTCTGGCAATGGTATTTAGTAGACCACCGTTTTGAACTGCGGACTGACCTTGCCAGAATTGAACACCAAAGTCACTGCAGTGAGCATGGTTGTTTGGTCCAGACAGGATGAACGCATCCTGGACATGGACAAGATTTCCTTTGCCTTGGACTCGGTCAGCTGCACCGATGGGATGACCCTCAAGTTCAAAAACCGGCTCTTCTATCTTGCTGCCAAGTTCGCATGGCAGTGGGTTAATTATAACGACATGCGCAGTTTTATAATGGTCTCCAGCTGGGAGGGATGCGGTACTCCCCGCGAGCGAGACCCCTGGGTGGTCAGAAACGCTGTTTTTGATGACAAGGGCTCGACGGCCAAACTGGCAGCGACCAAGAGTACATGGCAGAAGGTATCTAACACGACTGTTCTTGATTTTGGAGATATCGTCCTCGGCCATCAGGGCACTAAGGACAAGCGGTTCTTAGATGTCAGCCTGAACAAGGCCTTTACCCTGGATCTCAGCTCCTCTTTTCCCACTGAGATTGTTAACTGGACCATGAACACCCCGTTCGTGGATGCCAGTCTCGCCATCAACTGCGTCAACTGCGGCACCACAGGCACTCTCGCGTTCGCCGGCCATGTCGAAGCGAGTCTGTTTGGTGGGTTGGAGAAGTTCGAACTGTCCGCTACACCTCGTAACATTGCGGCGAATCTGGACCTGAGCTTGGAGTTCAAAGGTGAGGTTGATTTTGATGGCCTCCCCGCTCCAGGTAAGGAGTGGACGCTGGTGGAGCTGCCATTACCCAGTGGCTGGCGGGTTCCGGGGGTGTTGACGTTCGGACCCAATGTCAAGATCAATGCAGGTTACACTATTGAATACATTGGAGGCGAGGCATCTGTCACTACAGGAATCTCAGCCAGGGTGCCCGATAGCTCGGTGGCCAAGGTTGATTTGGCCAGCAAGAACCCGGTGACCATCTCCGGATGGATTCCAGAAATCCAAACCAAGCCTATCGAGGTCGAGGCCCAAATTCATGCGAGAGCAAAGCTCTACACGGAAGTTGCGGTGGCGGCCAGCATCGAAGTCTTCGGTATCCAGCGCCCTTCTTTCTTGGACTTGATGCATGGTGCAGCTGACAAATGTTCCAGATAATGGGCTGAACGTCGAAGTGGGCATCAAAGTCCCCGATATTACAGTGACTGCGTCCGCGGGATACAGTAAGCTTCTATCTGACCCAGATCTCTTCGAATACTGACTCTGTCATCAGACGTAGCCGGCTTCTGCGCCAATGATCCCAACAAACCGTACGGAGTCAAGCTGGATGCCACGCTGGGTGCCAGTCTGGGGCTGCAGGGCTACACAGAGGTGAAGGGTGAACGGGACGTGTTTCTGGACGTGACTCTGTACGAGACGCCGACACTGTACACGTTCCCCGAGCTCTGTCTGGCTGCGGGAGAAGAGTCCCCCGGTACCTGCATTCCTCAGTCAGACCCTCTGGATCCCGACGATGGGGTGGCTGCGGGCATCCTTCGGAGAGATACATCAAGCTCAGTCGCGCTCTCCAGACGGGATGCAGACAGCGCCTTTTACCTGGGTCGGGATCCATATTACCTCGCATGCGACGAAGGCCGCACGAGACAGATCTGGGTGCAAAAGTATCAGCGCCCCTCACGGCTGAGGAACAACCTTGCTGTCCCTATCATCCAGCCAGGAATGACTTGCAGTAATAGCCCGCAGAACCAATGCCCTGCTAGCACCTGGAATATCAAGGAGGTTCCCAAGGATGACCGGGCTGGCGTGACAAGACAAGGATGGGCCTGTAAGTGCCCTGACCTGATGCACAGAGACACACTGACAAATGCAGCGGAACATATTTATGAGGGCAACTGGGTCCGTGACTTTATTGACTACTTGGTTAAGAACTATTATCCAGCGACGATCGAGGATCCGACCGTCCAGGACAACACCAAATGCAAGGGAGCGATGAACAGTTTTGGCATCCAACGCGATATCAGCACACCCAATCCTACTGTCGCGTTCAACTACTCGGAGGCGTTGATGCAGAATCTGGGTACCGTCCATACGGCGTCTACGCTCATGGCGATTTTTCCCAACAGACAAAATGGCATGAAATATACTGTGAGCTTCATGGATATCGACCGCAAATGCGGTAATGACTGACTCGCAGCCAGATGTTCGCCGGTAATGATATCGATGCCAAGTTCAAGACGTCTGAGAAGAATACCAACCAGCGAGTGTGCTCTCTCGGACGCATCGTCACCGTCTGTCAGTATATGAATTATGGGGAAATTCGGACTCGGATGAAGGCCACCGTCGCGGCCATAGAAAGTCTTTTGTCAGTCTTCTCTGCAATCTCCTCCTTGTTAGCTCCACGTTGACCGTTTAGCAGAGACAAGATGCAGCAGGATGTCAACATCTATCTTCCAAGTCCCCTCAAGAATGAGACCCTCAAGACGGCCCACGCCAAGTTTTTCGAGGAGAAGTACAGGGGTGGATTTCGCAATGCTCGGGACCGACTCCAAGACTATGCCAGCTGGCTCCAGGGTCAAGCTGGATTCGGAGATCTCGATCAAGCCACGAAGGATGAAGTGGCCAAGCTTGCGAGCAATCCCGAGTCTCATTGCAAGGAAGTATGGCCGTTGTAAGGATTAATGTGCCAGGTCTATGGGGACATATGTTGATAAGATATATATTTGTCTTGAGATTTGTCCTCTTGCGCCACTAGTTCACCTTGATTATATATCTGTTGAGACACGCCACAAAATTAAGGTCCCAATATGTGTGATACAAAGCAACGAACGCAATTACTTCCCATCTATTCAATGAATGCCTGGATGGATATCTCAGCAGTGACTGGTTTAGGAGCCTTTCCGATTCTTTCCACCAATGTAGCGAGTAGAATCGAGGCCATTTATCGCAGAGACTCGCAACAGAAAGTCGGAGAGCTCCGTGTTGCTAGTGCTGATGGCAGTTAGACACCGCCACTGCTATACTTGGAAGCATACAGGGTGAACACACGTCTGATCCCCTAGTTTTTCCCATTTCGCAGGCCCATCTCCCTCCTGGTGCGTCTCCTGATCTGCGGGGGACTGGGACCGACGCCGGCTCGAGGACTGCGAAGTGTCGTGTAGCTTGGCAGTTTCAGACATGATCCGTTAAGACAATCATATACTCATTCAAATATCCAGATGAAGAGTGGTACAATGCTGGTCCGAATACCTCTGTGGTATACGGACAGCCTTACAAAAGGACCATCATCGGACCGATGACCTCACCATTCATCAATTCCCGATCAGATTGAGTGTCTTTCTCGTTTCCCCGCATTTATGCTCAAAGTGTGCAACTTGTGCTATGCAGCTGAGTCAGCACGGATGGCCGCAGAACCATCGAGATTCCGGTGGATCTTTTCTCCATTCCTCCGTCTCTCTCCCTCTCTTTCTCCGCCTCAAACAAGGCATAGCAAGATCCAACAAGTTGCTGCCCCAGTGTCAAATGGAATGACTTCATTTTGGCACGTTGCATCTCCTTTTTTCCATCGACTCCTCTGCACAATGAGGCTCTTTGTCTTGCCGCTCGAAATTCAGGATATTCCCTAATTTCTCCTCTATCGCACCTGATCTTAATTTGACAGCAATATTTCATCCTCTTTCCGCTAACAATGGCAGACCCATCCGTGTCGTTGCCCCACGTCCGAGATGACCAGCGAGAGGCTGAGATTCTATCACAGCATCTTCATCCCCAATTCACCGGCTCGCTTCATGAAGAA